GGTTTTTGACTTCGGAAGCTTAATTCTTTTCGGAAATCAGCTCTATTGAGATCGTTTTAGCATGATAAGACAGAGTAAATACCAATGCTCGAGATACTTTACTTTTCCATATTACAAAACAAATACTTTATATGCACCTTACTCTTATTACAATATATGCAAAATTTATATGTCAGAGACATTAGTTCTGCTATTAATTAGTTATAACCGCGAAAACTTTTCATACTTCTAAAGACATATACCCTATATTTTTCGGTATGGAATCAAATCCAACGAAATCCATACTGTGTATAGCTACATCTAGTTTAATAATATTCATAATATTCTGCGATTTTATTAAATATTTCGTAAAAAAATGCACCAAAAACCTGATTACACTAAAATTGAATCGCATTATTCTATACTATAAACTTGTTAAAATCGTATATAAGTCTTATAATCCTTTATTTCTATAAATTATAATCGCCAAATATGTCAAGTTTTGATATTTCTATTATTCTCGGTAATAAAAAAAGACAATTACCCAAACCAATTAATAATAGTCCCGGATATGATATGAACTACCTCACTTCATACTTTTCAAAGTATTGTAGTGGAAGACCCAAGAATTTCTTTGAGAATGAAAGAGCATATGATACATTATCACGAATCCGATTCAATGAAACTCCACAACAATGGGCCATCCGTGTAAGAGTTCCTTTACAAGAGCTGATTTCTGAGAAAAAAGGAAGCTTTTATCACAGATATTGCTTATTTGCGTCATTTGGAAAAGGGAAGATAGTCGATTTTGAATACTATCGCCCTAAAATTCATAAACCCATATGGCCATATGTTTTGATTGTATGAAGCTTATTAAGATTGATGATGTGAAACCTAGAAAATCTTTTGACTATCTTTATCGAAGATTTATCGAAATTGTTGAACCCAAAGATTTGATGCAACATCACTGGGATACAGAGTGTTCCAAACCTAAAACTATGGATGCTTCAGCAAGAATTATACAAAGTGCTTGGAAACGATTCCGAGGAAGAGTACCATCAAATGTGCGACTTGTATGGAACAGCTTACCGAATGATAATACTCCAGATGATAAGAAATTTCTAACATTAATTCCATGTAAAATAAAAAATCCTGTATCTTTAAATCAAATTAAAATACGTCTTAATAAAGAATATGCCGAGTATATAAAAAAATATAATAGGTATCCTTATGATGCTGAATTTGAAATTAGTATGTATCAGGATTATATCATTCCATATGATTGGATAATTCGTAAAAAGAGTCAATTGCGGTCTAGATTCCAAAAGCGACTTTTAGAAATAGAAGCATAGTATTTAATAAATTATATAATTTAGTTACATAACCTATCTATTTAAAATAAAACCACCTAAAGTATTCCTTGAGGCTAGTACTTTAGATTTTATTTCGATACCCCTTGAGGCTGGTATCTTTTTTTGTACCAGATTCCCATGTAAACCGAAAATAGTTACTTTATTAGATTTTGCAACATCTATTACTATATAGGTTTCATGTCATCAAACTAATTTGGCTAAGTTCATAGAACATCTACATCGTGCAAATATGGTCAGTTGATGTCT